ATAAATAGAGCAAATAACTGTTAGTGTATAAGAAGTAATAAATGTAAAAACAAATTAATTTTAATCTTTTTATTATCTTTTATTTTTCTTGTACCAGGGATTGAACCCTGGGACACTTTTAACAACTGAGTCACATCTCCAGCCCTTTTTATCTTTTGAGGTAGGATCTCGTGAAGGTACTTGGGACCTCAGTAAGTTGCTGAGGCTAGCCTTGAACCTGTGATCCTCTTTCCTCAGCCTCCAAAGTCGCTGGGGTTATAGGCATGCACCACTGCATCTGGCAATTTTATACTTTAAAAAGCCATTTAAAAAAGTAAAAAATGTGTGTATGCGTGTGTGTGTGTGTGTCTCCATTTCCAAAAACTGATACCTTGATTTCTCTTTGTTTTTCTCTTCAGTGGTATTGGGTTTAAACTCAGGGCCTGTACATGCTGGAAAGCATTCTACCACTGAGTTCCATTCTTAGTTCCCTTTTTTCTTTAAAAAAAAATTTTTTTTTTTTTTAGTTGTAGATGGACACAATATCTTTATTTATTTTTATGTGGTCCTGAGGATTGAACCCAGTGCCTCACACGTGTGAGGCAAGCACTCTACCACTGAGCTACAGCTTCAGCCCCATGTTTAGCCTTTGTTAAAATTTTATTTTGAGATAAGATCTCACTAAGTGATGAGGCTGGCCTTGAACTTATAAATCTCCTGGCTTCAGCCTCTAAGTAGTTAGGATGACAGGTGTGTGCAACCATTTCCAGTTAAAACTTAGACAAACATTTGTCAAGCCTAATCATGAAAAAATAATATAATCATTCAAACTTAGATTTTTTAAAAAGTATGCACTAAAAGACAGACTGGTAAGTTTTTAAGTTATGATAAGAGTTCTATTTCCTAGATAGCAGTGAGAAATATCCATGGACTGTTTCCCTAGTGAAACAAGCATAACTGGTAGAAAAACAATTTTTTTTTAAATTAAAATTTCTGTGTCTGTCCTTAGGCAAATATTTGTTTAAGAGAATCTACTAAAACTGGATAACAACTGTGATAATCCACTGGTAAAGAGACCAATATCCTTAATAAGCACAAATGCAAAAATTTTCAACAATTTTATTGAAAATTGTAATTTGCTAGTATTTACTAGCAAAATAAGTCTAACATTACATGAAAAGGATTATACACCCTGATGAAGTAGAATTATCCCAGGGATGCAGATGGATCAACATTCTGTTAAGCAATTAACATATCACATTAAGAGAATAAAGGAGCTCCATTTGTGTACAATGAATCAAAATGCATTCTGCTATCATGTATAACTAATTAGAACAAATAAAAAAATAAACATTTGTAGTAATCAAAAAAAAAGAGATAAAGGATTAAAAACTGTATGAATGACCTCAATAGATGCAAAAAAAAAAAACATGGTATAATTAGATATTCTTTCATGATAAAACCCCTCAAAAATTAAGTATTGAAGACAGTACCTCAACAAAATAAGGGTTATACATGACAAACAGAGTACATCATACTGAATGGAAAAAACTGAAATTATTTCCTCTTAAGATCAGGAACAAGAAAAGGATATCATCTTTCACCAATCTTATTTAACATAGTATTAGAAATATCAGCCATAGCAATAAAACAAGAGAAAAAAAATGAATGGGCATCCAAGTACAATGGGGATGTCAAATTATCTATTTACAGATAACATAAACACAACAACAGTTATTTTTACTCGCTAATGATGAAACTACCAAGAAAGTAATCAGGAAAGCAATCCTATTCACAATAGTTAAAACTCACACTCACACACACCCTTAGGAATCAATTTTACCAAGGAAATGAACAATCTCTACAATGAAAATTACAAAATACTTATGAAAGAAACTGAAGAGAATAGAAAAAAGTAGAAAGACATGCTACATTCATGGATTGAAGAAATTAATACTGTTTTGTTCTGTTCCAGTGCTAGGGATTGAACCCATGGCCTTATATGTGCAAAGCATTTGCTCTACTGCTGGGCTATGACCCTAGCCCCCGAATTAATATTGTGAAAGTATCCATACTTCCTAAAGAAATCTACAGATTCAATGGAATTACAATCAAAATATTAATACAAAACACCCCTAATAACCAAAGCAATACTAAACAAAAAGAACAAAGCTAGATACACTGTTAACACGTGACTTCTTTACAACAGTAACCAAAATAGCATAGTACTGACATAAAATCAAAACAGAAAAATGAACAGAGAATCCAGAAATAAATTCATATATTTACAGTCGATTAATTTTCAACAAAGTTAGAAAGAACTTACCCATGAAAGGTAAGATTCTCTTCAATAAATGGTGCTGGAAAAACTGGACATCCACATGCTTTAGAAGAAAGAAATGAGACCTTTCTCTCTCACCATATACAAAAATCAACTCAAAATGGTTGAAAGACTTTAATATAAGGTCCAACACTATGAAACTATAAGAAAGCACAATAGAAATACTTCAAAACATTGGTCTCAATAAAGATTTTTGGATGTGATCCTAACAGCACAACCAACAAAAGCAAAAATTAACAAGTAGGATTACTTCAAACTAAAAAGCTTATGTACTGCAAAAGAA